GCTCTCCCTAGCTCTGCCTCAACTGACAGCGATGCTGCCACCTCCAACTAAACTTAACTGGAACATCAGGGGGCTCTGACCGCACCAGTGGGGTCCCATTGCAAATCCCATTGCCTACCTCTGTCCTCCAGCATCCCCCAATAATCAGCGACTGCAAACAAGGGACCAGCACCCTGGTGGCACCAGAGCCCGAGGGGTCTCCACAGGCTGCACATCAATATGGAATGGGGCACGAAGAAAAGACCCCTATGGGACTCCATCCATGAGGAATCTGATGGCAAAAATGCTATTTCCCATCGCTGCCTTTTGGGTACTACTGCCAAAAAGGACTTCAGACATCTTTACAGAATTGTCCTGGGCTCCTCCTGCCAACACCCACCCCCAGTGAAGCAGCTGTGGCCCGTGGTGGATCGCAATGAATTCCACAGAGAGCAACCTCACTTCTCCACCATACGAGAGAAAGCCACAAGCTTTTTTTTCTATGGATAGGAAGAAACCACTCCTCAAGGTGACTAAACTCTACTTCTCCTCCAAATCCCAGCCAGGAGGTTCATCGCAGCCTGCTGGGCAAGTGGACAGAGCACTAATGAGTATGAGAGGTACTCCAGACACCCCGCTGTGGCTGCAGAAAAACACCCAGCCTCAGAGGCAAGACATCTGGAGGATCTCAGTGCCATGAGGCCACATTCAGTGTTCCTCTTCATTCAGACACCAGGAACGTCCCTTGGACGTGACGTGGGCTAGGTCTGCAACCCTGCAGGACATTCCTTCCCCAGCCAAGCGAAAGGATCAGATATCCATCTGGGATGTTTGGAGTTCAGGAGCCAGAACCTCATCCTTGGACAGTGCAATCTGGGATGTCCTGAAACACCTCCCTCTGCACCACTGGAAGCACCAGTAGTGAAGATGCTGCCCACCTTGTTCCCTTCAGCAGAGCACAGAGTCTTTCTCGGGAGCGAGAGTGCTGCTTGCCAGGCCTACAAACACCCGGGAAAAGCAGCTTTCCCCAGGGAAACCAGAAAGGGGATGACTTGGAATCTAAGAGGTCTGAGGCAATCCTGAAGGTAGAAGAAAATATTTAAAATAACACATAAGAATAGCCCTTTGTAGAGGGGAATTGCACTCAGGCCTGTGGATTTTTCTTCAATTTTTGCCATTTCTGGATATCAGAATGAACACGTGTGCCTGCACACACACTCTCACCCCAGACTTTATCCCTCTTTTAACCTCTGACTGGCCAGAAAATAGCCCTTTATCCTGTCAGGTGGATAAGTGACCATGTAACAGCCCCACACATGATATTACCACCTCTCTCAGGTCAGTTTGTTTAAGCACCTTTACATCCTCAAGGATTGCCATGATATACGGCAACCAAAAATGAAGCCACTGACCCTGATAAAAAGCACAGCATCCTTTTTCACAGAATCACAGAATGGTTAGGGTTGGAAGGGACCTCAGGAGATCATCTAGTCCAACCCCCAATTTTGCTGAGCAATACAGGATGCTCCTCCCTTACTCTGTTTCTCTGCCGTCAGCCTCCAGTCCCCAGATGTGGTCATCCATTAGCAATCCTCCCCAGCACATACGTAGCACAGTTGGATGGTTTTTTTTAAACAAATGTCCCACAGAATGGAGGGAGACATGCAAAGAGCTTCTTGTGTTTAGGTGGAGCAATGGGAAAGGTACCCCTTGCAGAGGCGATGATGAGGAGCAGCCAAAACCTGTTTGCCACCAGCCAGACCCAATGCAGACTGAGAAGCAACGTTACCTTATCACAGTAGAGCAGCAGGTCCAACACAGCTGTTACCACTGTGCCCCTTTTTGGCAAAAAAATCACCTTCATCCCCTGATGCCTTCATTAATAAAAAATCTACAGCAGGGAGCAGAGCACCCAGCTTCACCAGATTTATGCCAGCAGAGAGCTACTTTGCACGCAGATCTCTGCTGACTACATCCAGCCACCTCAGGTGGCCCAACAGGGCCTGGGCACAGCCGAGGCTTTATTTAAGTCAGGTCTTCCACTATGACAAAGAGTATTTTGGACACAACTCGGGCTTTCGTCTCAGCTAGCTGTTGTGCATCCAGCAGCCAATCCATCTACGAAAACTACCTCCTTGTAAAAGGTGGAGACAACCGCTCTATTTAAAGCTTCCACTCCTGGGGGAAGGCAAACATTTACATCCCTGCTCACCTCCCAGGGCTGGGGAAAGGGAAGAAAGTTTCTGGCATGTTTGCTGCTGTAAAATGAAGAGAGATTAGGAAGGAGACAGGCAGCTCCTGCCCCATTCCAGCTTACCTCACTCCTCTACCTAGAGCAAGAGCAGCTCCTCTTTCAGGAGATGAAAACATTGCAAGAAATTAAGGCAAAGGATTTTTAAAAGGATCAGAAAAGGGGAGAAAGAGGAAGTATTTGAATGAAAGGCAGGAGGAAAGCAGAGATGATTTACAAAGCCACATATCGGGAACCTCACTGCTGGAGTATGTGATTGTGCTGGGAAGTGTCAGACGAATCTGCTGGGAGACCTCCACGCTGCAGTTCAGATAAGAAACTGAACATTTGGTTTTTATCCGAACTGATCCTGAACTTCATAGCCTTTGAGATCCTGCCAATCTCTCTCTCTCTCCCCCCCTCTCCTTGTATGCGTGTTTTTCCAGTGTGGAAGCTGGTTTAGCTTTATGAGTTTGCAATGACAGGTTGCGAATCAACACTGAGAAATGATGCAATATCACATGGGACCATGGGAACTATCGGGTTCAGGTCTCTATATTTTAGAGACTAAAGAAGAATGCTAAGAAAAGCCTAGAAATTGAACCAGTTTCAAGGTTCTACTTATTAAGCCAGTTTTATAAAAGTCACAAAATATATCAAGCTAACTGCATTTAAAATCCTCCTGCTGTCTTCTGTCACACAGCTTATTTGAAAAGCCACCCCCTGCAAAGTTGTTGGATTTTCCCCCCTCCCACTCTTTGCATTTATGGAACTGATGCTTGCTGAGGAGTTGCTGGTTGGAAATACACCCTCCTTAATGGGGAGGCATAAAAGCCTGGTGCTTGACTTCGTGAAAATGAGAAGTTCTGAGGGTCTGCACTGAATGCAAATAAAAAATTACAAGCCGCAAGGTTTCAAATTAACATCCTGATGCCTCAACATTATTCTTCAGAAAAGCTAGGTCTTTCCTTTGATCTCAGGATTACAGGCAGATGGGCCCTGATTCGCAGCTACCTAAAGAACCTGATACACTACACCAGCAGTACACACAGACCTTAAAATAAATCCAAAGTACACGGACACTGCCACTCTGCCAGCACAGCAGCGTGAGATTATCATTTTGGGACATCAGTGGGTGAATCAGGCCCCTGCAGTCAAATAAGGGCACATCTCAAAAGCTGGTCTCTCTAAAATCCAAAATTTGTCTCAGGAATTACTTCTCTTTTCATTCCCACCCGATTAGTCCCAGGCTGTGCTCTTCAGGCTCATTCCCACTTGCACGACAAGCAGGACAACAGCAATCACTTCTATTCTTTATGAAATGAATTCTTGTTGGCAACTGTAAACTAAGTGTTGATTTGTTCCTCATAATTAATAAATTCTTCTGCAGCATAATACAACTTTCCCTAACTTCAAATGATTTTGAAACTCCTGGAAAATTGTCTAATAGTTGATGGTATTTTACATATATATACACACACTGACAAAATACAACTTTAAGAATGGTATATTGTCATTTTTTAATCCCCAGATATTTAACTCCACCTTAATTTTTAAGATGTAGAGTAGAAATATTATTGCCTTATCTGCAATCCTACCCAAATACCGGAAGAGGTATTAAATTAATTGTGCCTTTTCAAAACCAAGTGCTAGGTCTTCAGAAAGTGCATTGTATCTATAAGTCCTGACATTTCAATAGGGACGCAGAACGCTGTACTTCTGGAAACGAGGGCCAAGATGGTCACACCAAAGGGAAGCAATTACAGCCAAGATTTGAAATCTGAAACGCTCAAGATTTAGCTTTTGAAATCCAACATATTTCTTCAATTAAATATTGAATAGCTGCGACTATAAAAAGGCTAGGCAGCTCTCGAAGTAAAGTAAAATACTCCATGGTGAAAGAGCATGTCAAGGCCAGATGCTCCGATGCAGGTTGTCACAGCTAATCATGTAGATCACCCCTCTGCTTTCCGTGTTGCAGGAAAGAATGCACCTACCGCTGTATGAAGAGGCAGACTGCTGAAAATTGGGCTTTATGTACAAATTTGTGAAGCAGTAACAGTGAGTAATTTCTACTTTGGCAGATTCAGAATGCCTTTTCATATGAAAATCGAAAGCAAATATATTCTTGACTCCAGAACAGCCCTAGATCATGCTTTTATACATGTACATAATAATAAGGCAAAACAGACACTAAAAACATATCCTGGCAATAAATACTTTAAGACTTCATTACAAAACTGAAAGGTCACATCTGATACATGAAAAAGTCAAATTATCTAGGCTGACATTTACAACTAATTTGAACCGACATTAGCATGAAAAATACAATTTTACTGCAAGAGGTAGTCTTACCTATAAGTTTAAATGTGCCCTTTAAGCATTAATGCTGAAAACAAAGCCCTGAAAAATATCTGCAGCCCTGCCAATTACATTTTGGTATTTTATAGCAAAGCAACGTGAAGCAGACAATTAGCAGAAGATTTCAGCCCCTCATTAGCAAGCAGAACCTAATAGTAAGAGAAAAAAAAAAAAAAAAGACAACCATATGTGCAGATTACGGGCTCGATCCAGCTGTGAGATATTCAGGCACCCATTACCATGCAACCGGCTTATCCACGGATATGAGCAAATACCAGGAGCCGATTTTGCAACGCACACGGCGACGAGCCGGAGCATCCATGCACCTCTCAAGGCAATAACAGAGCCCTCTGCCTGCCTGCTCGCTCGCTGTCACTAGGAAAGAGAGACACGTTTCGCACAAAGCAGCCGATATTCTTTGTGGACTTACTTTAACTGTCGAGGTTCGCAGTCAACTCCCGGCAGTAAGAGCCTCGCTGCCTGCCGTACGTCATCGCTGTCCACCGAGAAACTGCGACGGTGCCCTGCGTGAGCCACGGCAACCCGTATCCACTCCATCAGGGGAGGCAGCACAATGAACGGCCTGGGGAAGCACACAGACATGAATGCTACAGTACACTACCATCAAAATAACAGGTACATAAAGAGAGAGCAGGGGGGTGCGTGTGTGTGCATGTGTATATATACGTGTGAGAATATATATATACACACCGAGAGGGAGAAGGAAACAAGCAAAACGAAAGCATGGGAGAGCAAACCAGCTCAGCAAATTTCAAGCAGGTCTAAATCAAGATGTCTCACCCTGTCTCTGGAGCAGGATTATTTGAAGAGTGAGATTTATGAGACACAGTCATTTATGGGGCTCCTTGTCAGGTCCATGCACCCGCCTGGCAAGCCCTCCCTCCCCCCTCATCCTTTGCACAGTGTATCCCGAAAAGAGGGCAGGAGCCTGGCACAGGACCATGTCCTGTTCTGGCTGACGTGCCACTTTGCAATAGGGGTGGGAAAACGAACCAGGGCAAAGAGAGGGGATGCCCCCACCCCAGGATCCCAGGGATGGAGAGGTCACGCGTGAGGAAGTCTCCAGCATCTCCTGACAATGCAATGCGTGCCTTGTGCTCAGCGCTGAAAGTGGGGACCTTTACAGCTGTAAAGTAATACTGCTGTATTTTGGAGGTCATCAGTGAGCAGCGTCAGAAACCAGGCTCTTTTGTTTCACTTTTAAGCTTACTGTTGCTTGTATCAAACCACTACCCCTTTGGGTACCAGCTGTTCTGCCACTTGAGCAAAAATACACAAAACCAACCCCCAGAGTGGATGGTGGGACTCTGAGACACAGACCCCACTTGAGCAAAGCACGGACGCTATCGGAGACATGGTCCTTTACTCCACAAGACCTGGAGAGCCCCATGTCCTAGCAAGAGATGACCATGCCTTATCTGAAGCACATAGCATACAGTTAGCCCCATCTACGCTAAAAATTATTTGGCAAACAAGAGAAAAATGCCAAACCTTAAATGAGAACCATAGCTTCAAGTCCTAGTTTGGAGTTAAAAAAATAAATAAATATCTGCAGCTGAACATCTTGGAAGGTCACTGCCTGTTAGGTCAAGGTGGACAAAATCCGCAGAGCAACACAGGCTGCAGCAACTGCCCTCCCATCCCCAACAAGTTTTCATGCCCACTTCATCACCTAGCTGGGCTGTCCAAAATGGGTGTCTCCTCTGCAGCTGTACGCAGGAGACAAAGTCTCTGCGGGGAGGGATGAGGAAGGGTAGAAGAAATCTCTCTTTATAAAACTATACTAGAAAATTCTAAAAATTGTAAAATCATTAAAAAATAATAAATCTGTCCAAGAGGTACTTGAAAACTACGCTGAAAGTCCTGTATTTAGTCAGGAGCACTGAGAACTAGACACAGTGAAGCTGTTTCATGCCCACTGTGAAGTAGATACCATGGCTAAGGGATGTTTTTCGAGACTGCTATAATATTAAAAAAGAAAAAAAAAAAAAAAAAAAAGAAACAGATGAAACTTGTAAATGACTACTGTCCTCAAGGAATGTCTGTAATTAACCTGCTCTTGCCTTCTTCTGTACCTTTTTCTTTTGTCTCATTTCCTATGCGTCTCCCTTTCACCTCCTCTTCAACTGTATATTCCCCCGGTTATTAGCTCAGTATATCATTCTAACTGGAAATGTGCCTTTTAGTGCAGCATCATCCCCTACTTTTTCTCCCTTCCCTTCTCCTGCTCCTTTTCATGCAATATTGTTTTTCCCTTACTTGCCTTTCCTTCTGTGCTCCCTTTTCATGGAGGAGGAAGAAAAAAGAAAAAAAAGAAGTCTGGATTAGGTGCCCAGTAGGCAAATACTTTACATTTTAAATATATAACTTCACCCCAAAAGGATCTAGCCCGAGAAAAATTATTTAAGAAGATGTTGATTCTGGAATATCCTTTTCCTATTTATAGCTCTTTATGCCATTTATTTCTCTTTTGAAGACTTGACTTTACATAGTTCTGATATTAATATTCTTGAGGAGGGATGAGATATTTCACAAGCGCCGAAGGACACAGAAGCCCTGAGGCCACCAACCTTCCCTGGGACGCCAGGCTCCCAAATCCCACAGGCGCTTAAATGAACAACCTCCTTTCGAAATATGACATCTTTGGCTGACTTGCCACTTTCATCATTATTCTATTCAAATACATTGCCGTCACCTCAAGACCAGGCTGCATTTGCTTCCAAGGCTTTCTGCTTTCCCCAGACCTGCCACGGCCACGAAAGGAGGCAGATAAGGACAGAACATCTTTCTCCCAGAGCTCCTGCGAAATGATTTCCATAACCCAGCCCGTTTGTCGGGATGGTGGCGGCAGTCAGAGGAGGGAGAGGGGAGAAGCAGGGGTGTATCTGCTCCTGAAAGGCGACCTGCTTCCCAGGTCACCTGTGACACGCTTCCTCAGAGCAGAAGGGACCTTTCTCTTGCAGCATTAAGTAGCTGGGGACAAGTGATCAGTGGGAGTTGTTTTCATCACTTGCTGAGCAAACAGCAGAAAGGGAGCTGCAAATCACACTGGAAGTGTAAAAATCCATATAGTTACCCTCAACACTTGGTGCTAGGAAAACAATTAAAGGGAAACTTAATTCTAGGTTATGGTTTCCATGAGTAAACATGGTCTGGATCAGGGAAATGCAGATAGGCTTGTATGGAGCCTTCCTATAACATCTGCTAGGCAAACAGAAGAGCAGAGGGCCATGGCTGAAGGGCCATGACTTGGGGGTTCGCGCCTTCTTCTCCTCTCTCATGCAGCTCAGAAACTCACCCAGCAGAAAATCTGCCCGTCACAGTATGGACCAGAGCAAATAAAATTATTTACAGGGACTGTGATAATTGCACTATAAAATTGCATATTTTTTTTCTTTCCTGGTCTTGCAAACTTCAACAGAGAAATAGAAATGAACGTGGCTATTTGGTGCAATAAATCCCAAAAGGGAAGAGAATTGGTGTTTGGTGGAAGCAGAGGGATTTTCTCTAAAGCCCAATTTCAGACCATACACGATGACACGGAGCTTGCTCAGAATATATTACATTCCTTTTTCCAAGGCAAAAAAACTCGCTATCACTGCATATCTGAGCACGTCAGGGAATTTGTAGTTTGAGAAGAGAACCAAATATGGTTGAGTGCAATAGGTTAAAAATACCCTCTAAGAGTCTATGCACCACGTGAAGGGGATTATTTTTTTTATGCTGTTTGTGTGCCAAAAGAGAAAGAGGAACACAAAGTTTTAGGGAGGTGACAACCCACAAGACAGCATGACATCAGCAAGACACATTTCACTTTTCAAATAGCACCGTGCAAAACCAAATGCATCGCATCATTGGTGTATACATTGATTTATCTCTGCTGTACAAAGGCAGGTAACAAACCAGGGGAGTTTGGTACTTTTGTGTTCTAGGGCAGACACATAGCAGATAAGTCACCTAGTTTTCTGTTTTGGAAGCACATACCTTAATTAAATTAATCTAACCACAGTAGGAACATGCTGGGCTTGACTCTGCCTGAATGATGTGGAAAGTCAGGAGCAACGCGACTGCTGCAGAAGCATCTTACAGGGTTACGGATAAGTGAGCACTCTGATCTCCTCCTCCAGCCTATCTTTGTACCAGAGCTTAACTTTAAACACATGCTCCCATGCTCTTTAATTCACTGCAGTTCAAAGTTAAGCATGAGCTTAAGTAATGTCCCAAATAAAGGACGGATTTCCGCACAGGCTTGTATTTTCCTGAACTGTCATCTAAGGGGAAACACTTGCCAGATAGGGATGCAGGGAGAGGTCTCTGCACAGAGCAATCCCCATCCCACACAAAAGAGCTGGGAGGTGAGAGAGGGATGGAGGAGGCCAACAAAAAGCAGATCCCAAAGGGCTGAACCCTTCTGGGAGCTGTCTCCCCCAGCCTTGGATATGGGACAGCTGGCTCCTCTTGGAACATGCCCTCCCTGGGTCCTTATTCAACAGAAACCAGAATAATCAGCGCCCCACAAATCCTCACATCCCCCCTTCTTCCTTCCACACAGCATCCCTCCCCATTCCCTCCTGCTGCCCCATGCCCCGTTACAGCTATTTCGGGACAGCTTGGGGACCCATGAGCTCCCGTGCCTTGTGGACATCTGCAGGCAATACCCAGCCAGCACCCCCCCACGAGGGACAACTGCTCGCCTTCCTCTCCTGTCCCAGATATCACACGTCCTTCTCCGTATTGACCTCAGATGTGGCAGCTCCCCGCCAGCATCCACCCATGCCTCTCCCTGGCGCCCTCCCTCTGGAGTGGGGCCGATGACCCCTCTGTGCCTGATCGGGCATCAAACCTATCTCAGGTTTTGCAGGGCTGATGTCTCTGGGGCACTGCGAGTTACAAAATGGCTCATCAGGAAAGTAGATGTTATTGGGGGCACCCAAATGTAAGGCATAACCTGCTCCAATCATGCCACTTTTTTGCCCAAACCCCATATTCCTCCCGAGACATGTGCAGCAGTCCTGGACTGCCCACCATTTACCTCCTTGGCTTGCTGGCACATGAAGTTATTAAAAGTCCTGTCACGCATATGTAATAGCTCGGGCTTTTACATGATTATTATTATTATTATTGTTGCCATCTGTGGCAGTATACCTTTATAAAACAGGAGGAATCATCGGATGGAAGAGCATGAGAAATGTGCACTGTAAAATACAACAGGATGCTGCATTAGTTTTGCATGGGTCTGTGAGGAGATCGATGAAGCTCCTTTCTGGATGCCGCCTGCTGCAACGCTGGAGTCACAAGGCAGTAGGGCCAGCACTCCTACAAATCCCAGCTCACAATAACACCTGGCCCTGGTTTTTCCCTGTCCCTACCACATTTGCAAGGGGTAGACTCCTTGCTACCCACTGACCATGACCTCATGGTCTACCTTGCTGCCCAGTCCTTCAAGAGCAGGGCCACAATACACACCCCCGCCCTCTTTTTCTTGATTTCCCAACAGGTGAAGAAGTTCTTCCTCTCCCCAGTTGCTCCCTCTCCCTTGCACAGAGTAATCCACTTTTTTGG